ACCAGTTTCTAAAATTTATCTATAATTATTATATTCAGCAACATGTTACACTTTTATCTTGAATTTTATTTTTTTATATAGTTGACATAGTTTTGCATTTGACCTACTTAGCAGTACATGAGTCAATGAACTCTGCAAATAGGAAGGGTAACATAAGAGACTCTTGACTTTTATCTCACATAACCAAGAACAAATGTGATTAGCGATTATTCGTATAAATGTCTCCCAGCGGTTTCTTACATAATAATGCAATCTATTATTTAAATGTTTCTCTCAATTTATGAGCCCTCAAATGATTTAAAATTTATTTACATGTCTCAGAAATACTTTGAGCTCTGCAAACAGCAAAGCCATATTAAAATATATTTGTACACCAATTTTCATTATTAAATTTGGTGAGTTCTATTTGTTCTCATTATTTATTTATTTACTTGGCTGATTGACACTGCCTTGACAAAATATCTGATGCGATGCTCTGAAAAGAGTTAAAACATTGTGAAAAGAACTTGGAAAGAAACAGGAAACAAGAAATAAAATAAGCTCTCCCCCCAAAGTTCATAGAATGGGACTGTTGTCATTTGCTTTTGAAAGGCAGACTCAAACTTCCTATGAGACTTCCGCAATTCCAGAGTGACTACATAATAAGCATTATTTTATCGATGACAATCCACATCCATTAGACAAGAAACTTTGTCCTAATGTAATGCCAGGTAGTAACTGTATATTTAATTATTAACACTGCAATCTTATATTTTTACTATAACTTCCACTGAGATCAGGGGACTTTCTACCAGATCAATATCAAATTGATGAAGATTATTATTTCTTTCTCTGCAGGGTACTTCTGTCAAATTAAATTAGATGGGTGGTTCCAAGGGAGGGGTCCTTCCCATTGTGCCAGACTGCTTACGAAATCCTCCCCCAAAGGAGGGAATCAAAACCTGATGCTAACATTGTTATCTATCTGGTAAATATTTCTCTAAAATAAATGTTTAATTTAAAGTTATAACATGACCAGCAAGCTGCTGGAACAGAACCTTTTATATATTTTACAAATTGTCTTTACTGTTTTATTAATGTGTGCATGTAGATGAATACACATACACACACACACACACACACACACACACACACACACACACACTGATACACACATGTAAGTCTCACCAATATTTGGGCAAACGTACAAAGAATTATTTTTTGTACCTGTTCTTCAGCCTTAAAACATGGGAACTCTTTCTGCCACAATATTTCCTGATAATTTGTTTTTAATGTTAACTGATGGTAATATATTTTTACTTCATCAATAATAATCTATTTATGTCTAAATGCTAAACTTGCTCTAAAGTCTAGATATGAAGTAAGACATAAAATAACATAAATTTCATATCTGGCCTTACTGATGATTTGAGAAATGCTTTTTTGAAAATGTTAACATTGTTAAAATGTTGAAGATTAAGTTAATTTATAGTGATGAAATATTAAAGTTTCAGCCATTACAGACATACACTTTAAATTGTACGTCAATTTATAAAAATGATTGCAATAAACACATTTGCAAATGCTGTCTGATTTAAGTATTTAACACTCAGTGGAAAGCAATAATTACTTTTGGCTGAATAAATTAGGCTGACCAGCTTAAATATGTCACTAGTTATTTTGAGAAAAGCTCCTTGGTATAGCAACTCTAAATGCATTTTTTAAACTTCTCAATAATGCACTGATTATTTCTTTAGCTTCCCAGTGCATAATAAAAATCTGAAAACTCAAATCAGCTAACTCTTCAAGGGGGAGAAATGTCAGTAGAAAGGCACTGTGCTACTAACCAGTAAATAAGATAGGTAGGTAGGTAGGTAGGTAGATGTGTGTATGTGTGTGTATGTTAGTTGTGTGTGTGTATACACACACACATACACACACACGCTGTAGGGAAAAAGTTCCCTGGAATTTAAGAGAATCTAAAAGAGTCTCATAAACAAAGAGAACTAAGCAATGAAAAATATGATACAAATGCAATCACAGTACTGTTCTTTCAAATATTTACCCAGCTTCTAGTTGAAGAATAATTTGTTTCATTTAGCCAGAGTCAGACTCTAAGGATTGCAGTAATCCACAGGGATTAATTAGCCTAGGAGTTTTTCAAATACAACTTTTAAAAGCACAGGATCAAAATGGAAGAAGAAAAAGAATATGCATATATATTTTACTGATGATTGTTAAATAATCATTAAACATTAAATATTATCATTATTGAATCATGGAGAGCATCACATAGTTTAAAGCAAAATAAGCACCCTAAATCTATCCAACAAATTTGTGATGAGGACACTATGGCAAAGTGCAGTATTTTTCAGTGAATTTTACCTTCCCCAAGTTTTATACCACCATATATTTTGGGCATGCTACTGGCCATGTTAGCTGTTAAGTCTAGAAATGATTCTCTCAAAACATTTAGAAGCACCAAGTTGGCCCTGCTATGGTAAATATCCTAAATATATATTCTAAACCCAGGTAAATGAGTAGATCTTACTTCAAAGTTACACTTCTATGCATTCAACAAATATATTTGACTTCCTATAAAAAAAAGTTGACAATTTCAGAGGAAAAGTTAAGAATAGGAGGACAAAATGTCACTGAATATTTCACATCCAAGCTTGGCCTTCATATCATCTGAAGAGTTATTATGGGATGCAGTTTCGTGGGAAACTGAGTGAGCATGGATGGAGTCAGCATCTTTCTTTCCCTGACTTTGCCATAATGATTCCTATAGGAGTTTGAAAAAGATTTATATTCTACTTCTATAAATTACTGCTACTATGCCTACTCAGTGTAACGAAGTCTTCCACTATTTATATGTCAAAAAAGTATAGCAAATCCTACTAAGTTTTAATTTATCCATGCAACCTGGAACTCCAATTTTAATGCTCAGACATATTCTGTCACTTCACTATTTTCCTATTATAGTAAATGCAATTTAACAAATTAAGAAGGAGTTATCCAATGCAGCCTAATGTTCATTTTATAGCAAACAGGATTTTTAGTATCCCAAAATATATTTAAATATAAAAAAATACTTTATCAATAACAGTGAATATTAATTATGAAGGGAAGCAGTGAATGTGTTTAAATCTATTATTTTGAGACATAATATAATAATATCAGATTTTTAAAAGCCTTGATGTAATTAAATCTACTATGTGAGTTATGTACTAAAAAAAAATAGAGCTGTTTGTACAAAGTGCAATTCAGTGCCTAGAAAATAGCTGAGAATAAGCCAACAATGAAAGTGAAGTTAATTACACACATCTCTCCTATTCAGTGATTCTGGAATGGAGGATGCCAATCAGGTGAAACAGGTCTGCAGACATAAACCTTTCCTTGTGGATCACGAGTGCAGGCATACTCCAGCAACAAAAATCTCACCTAGTTTGCTACTTGAGTATAACGAATGTTAAATGGAAGTTGACCACTGTAACAATACAGTTTCAAGGAACTGGGTCAAATCCAGACATTAGTCCTGTTAGACATTCAATCCTTATGCACTGCCCTTTCCCCTCCACCATTTTGTACTAGTTAGCATGCTAACAAGAGACAGTCTGAAACAAGGAACCTACTTTTAGCCATATATAGTAGTTCTAAATGCAATAATATCCTCAATCCAGATTGACTCTTCCATGGCCTTGGAGCTCTATTATTCCCCTCACGTAAGGCAAACTGAACAATAAACAAGATGCAGTTTAGGCATCCATAGTCAAACCTTAATCCTAATAGAACTACCCAACTAACTGCTCAATCGTTTCAACAGCTTTAAGTACAATTACCAGCAGTCCTCCTTTAGCCTCATTAAGCAACCATCCACAGTGATGATGGTGCTGAAGAAGTAAATTTATGATCAATCGTTTCATTTACAACCATCATGAGTCTGTAAAGCAAAGGAAATCTGAAGTAAGATCATAAGCAAAGGGACGGCTTCACTTAGTGACCACTTATCACTTAAGCTGACAGTCCCAACTGGCTAAACGAGGACCACCTATATATATCTTTGAATCAATCCATGGCCAAAAACCATTTCAACACATTAAACAGCTGGTGGAATTCTGTTCTTGCTTTTATTAGATCTTTTTGTTTTTTAAAAAAAAAACATAACCAACACTAAAGAACCTTTAGTATGTATAGGTCATCCTCCACTTACAACAGTTCATTTAGTGACCATTTGAAGTTACAGCATCACTGAAAAAAAGTGACTTATGACCATTTTTCATGCTTATGTCCACTGCAGCATCACTGTGGTCATGTGATCAAAATTCAGACAACTGGCAACTGATTCATATTTATGACGGTTGCAGTGTGCCGGGATCAAATGATCAACAGTTGTGACTCTCCGACAAGCAAAGTCAATGGATAAATTGGATTCACTTAACAACTGCATTACTAACTTATCAACTGGTGATTCACTTAACAACTGCAGCAAGAAAGGTCATCAAATGGGACAAGACTCACTTAACAAAATGTCTCACTTAGCAGCATAAATTTTGGACTCAATTGTGGTCGTAAGTCGAGGACTACCTGTATAAAGTTTTATAAGGAAGAAAACAAAATGAAGACTTGTGAATTAAAATGCAGCTACCTACAGATACTTACATGGGGATGGCTCATGTATCCCTTCTTCAGAGCTGTCCTCAGGACCCTCTTCACCTATTCCAGAGGTAACCGAATCTTCTTGAGCAGAAGCAGAACTTGGTGTACTCGGTGCACTGACAGATCCAGAATCACCGTCCTCACTATTGGAACCGTATCTATCATGTTGAACTACCGATCCACCTTCACTGCAGCTTCGGCGCTCTTTCCTGTGGACTCGGGAATGAAGCACCATTTGGTGATATGTGCGGAAAATCTTGCCACACTCAAAGCACTCGGTGGACTTGTTCTGTGATACCCTTCTGCTTTGACGTGAGGATGGTCTGTATTCTAAGTCATCTGGATCAAGGATGCAGTTGTCCCCTGCTTGTGCATTATTGCTTTTCTCTGAACGGCCACCAGTGCAATTCTTCTTCTTTGGATTACTGGAAGAGTTGGATGCATCTTGCTCGTGCTTGCGTTTCTCTTGACTAACAAGGATATATTCCCTTTTGTCCCTGTCATATGTGACATCAGCATCTGCCAGAACTTCATCCCATCCTAAATACTTAACGTACTCAGAAGGCTCTGCAACTTTCCCTTTGGTAGCCAAGTGCCAAGCTTGGTAACTGTTGACTGGATCCAGCTCAGCTACTCTTCTACCTGACTGGCCCCTTGAAACACCTTCTATCCATACAGACGGCCTCAAGTTCAGATATTGGAAGAAAAACTGTTTTGCTATAGATGAATCCAAATCTCCATCTATTAGTCTCTCTTCTCTGGGATCACTGCAAATCCCTTGAGACTTACAGTGTACAGAATTATGTGCTTTTAGGCTCTCCATATTTGTAAACAGGTTTCCACACTTGGTACAAACTTCATAAAGGGATAATCCAGTCACAATAGTCTCTTCTTGAATGACATTGTTGATAGTGGCAATGGGCTCTAAATCACTTTTGGGCTTGTTTTTACTCCCAGCTTTTGGGCCATGAGATTTCATGTGGTTTTTAAGGAACCAGGGCTCTTTAAATTTCCGGCCACAAATGTGGCACCCATGGTCAAATGACCCTCGATGCTTCTTCATGTGAGCTTTGAGGAACCATGTTTGACTAAAGGCTTGTCCACAGACTTCACAAGGAAATTCTCCAGCATTGGACTCAGGCTTGCAGTTCTCGGGGTAGGCTTCCCCATTTGGAATTTGAGTGGTAATATGGTCTCTCTCTATGTGGTTTAAAAGGGTCTCCTGTCTTAGGGTCATGTAATTACACAGCCTACATTTGAAAGGCTTATGCACTTGGTGTATGTGTTGCTCCAACTCTTTCTTCCCTTCAAATTTGCTTTTACAGAAGTTGCACTGAACAGTACATAGTTTAACATCATCGGCCAATACCTCTTTTCTGCTGCTTCTGAGCAAGATCTTGCTATCCTCTGTGGGAACTGTTCCATTCAATATTTTGTTGCAAGCAGAGGTGCTTTTGGTAGGGCTGGTGCAACCATCAAAGCCTTCGAAGACCCTCATCTCATTAAGCTGAGCCTCTCCCACCGTCTCCACATCATTCCTCTGGCTTATGGTGCCTGTTCGGTGACCCCGAATATGGATCTTTAAGTTGCCCTTTTGGGAAGCTCTGTGATCACAGTAAGGGCACTTATAGGGCTTCTCTCCAGTGTGCTTCCTCATGTGTTGTGACAGTGAGCTCTGGAAGGGAAAACTCTTGCCACATATGCAGCAGCTGTGCAACACAGATTTGTCTGCATCCACATCATTCTTATTCATCCTGTGAGGACTGGAGGCTCTTCGCAATTCCATGTTTGCACCTACACTACAATCCATCTGTATTCCAACAACATCAGTCAACAGGTAAAAGCCCTGCCCAGGAGTGGAAAATTATGTTGAAATTTCTATTGGGATGGGGATGTTTCTCACCAAGCTTCTATCTCTTCATTCCTATATTCAAACTGCTTCTCAGCTTGAGAGCATTCCGGATATAAGCATTCATTGATGTTTCTGAGTCAGATGGCAAACAAAACCTGCAACCAAAACAAAAGCACAACACCTCATTACTAAATGCAAAAGCATTTCATTTGAAGCACATTCACAACATTCTTCTTTGTGACAGGCCTCTGTTAAAGTTTTCTTTTCATCTAAATCAAACTCTTGTATTAAATTTAACTTGGATGATATTATAATTCAGAAAACCCAGTAGGATATTTCATAAGCTCAGTAAAATAACATAAACAAACCTACGAAATAGTAGTTTCAGTTACTGGGATACAGAGTATGCATGTAATTGGTATGTGCTAAAAATAAGAACATCAATCTCACAAACAGTTAAATTTGTCTTTCCAAACCAAAAAATAGTGTGCATGTAGTTTCAACTTAATAAGCCCTTTCTTGAAGTAACTGTAATATTTTAAGTCTGTGGTTTTATACACATATATAATTTCATGAAAAACAGCCAAAATTTTGTCTGTCTAGAGATAAAGGATTTCTGTAGGACCCAGTAGACTATCCTTATTAAAAATGTTTTCTTAAATATGCAGACATACAGAAAAGGATGCATCTTATTTTAATTAAATAAAATTCCTATAAACAAGCCCATTAAATGAACACTACTATTTTATCTTAGTTGATTGCTAATATCCTTGTTAATGAAAATAAAATATAGGAATGTGTTCACAATTTTGCTACATTAAAAGCTGTAGAAAAACTCATTTTTACATGTTAGAGGAACATCTTTATATATTCTGTAGTACCTATTCAAAATTAGATGCTGTTCTTTCTGCCCTGTAAATAAATGGTTGATACATGCATATATAACCTCTTTTATATACTGAATAAATCTTTCTACTTGTTTATTACAAGTGCTTCATGTTTAAAGGAAAAACACCTTTTTTAATCTACCTTGCTTTTTAAGAAAAATAATAATCTTGTCTCTCTGTTGGTGAAGATGCATCTTATTTGCAGAGTATGGATCCAATCGTAATATTTGTATACCTAATACTTCAAAAGGAGGATTCACATTTCTGCTTCGTGGTATCTGTATTTCTGCCCCATCTAATTTTAATTTTCCTCTCAGAAAGCATGTGCACAAGATGGATTTTATTTAAAACATCTCCCCAAAGCGATTATTCCTGAAGTATATTAACCAATTTATATGAACAGCATGGTAGATTTAAAACATTTTAAGACTAGGAATAGAGGGATCCAGTTCTGTGAATCAGTAATGGAAATGCGTTCTGGTCTGTGGCCATAATTCAAATCAAACTTTTATTAGAGCCTTCAGGTCAGAAAGCAGAACTATATGAACATGTAATTATTATTTTAAAAACATATAAAATACAATAGAAGTATACAAAATACATTATTATAGCAACTGTAATACAGTTAGCAGTGGCAATCATGAACATTCTTGCTACACTTCAACTGTATGTAGGAAGGATGAAACAAACAGTAGCAAAAAAAAAAAAAAAATCCGGCAACTTGGAAAGATGTTAGAATCCTGGTGAAATAGAAGCATGGGCAGCTAGACATTGTGCTGTCCACCAGGGTGGTTCTTTTAAATGGGATAAATATGTATCTTCCTTGATTCCCGATAGAAAGCAACAAAGGAGCATATGGCTTGTTCCACAGGGACATCTCCGCCATGTACATAAGCACTGCTGAAAAAGGATGTTTTTATATCACTGCCAAAGAACTGCAGAGGGTAATCAAGAGAATTGCAGAACCTAACCAAGAGAATTGCAGGATTAGAATTAAAGAGAGATAAGAGAATATAGCAATTTGAGAAGAATTCATAATCTGTAAAGTTGGATACTAGGCTTAAACCGGTTGTAAAGTCAGTATCCCAGTTTCATTGCTGAAGATGACTCCTGGCATTTTCAAATCATAATGGACAGAGGCTTTCCAAAGGGAGATTAAGGACAAGTTTGGAGTTAGCTTTTGTTAACCAGGTTGATTTAAAAAGGTATCTGAGAACCAATAGAACCAGACCCATGGGGGGGGGGGGATTGATTTCAATCAGAAATGAGGACTATTGCTTCTCAGCCATTGGGCTAACATCAAGTGTAAGGTGGGCCTAATAATAAATATTTCATTTGATTTGGCAACAGAGAATGCTATTTGCAAGTATACTTTGACTAAATTGATCATAATGTACTCTTTTGTTGATATTAGTGTGCTATCGTGGTATTTTGCCCTTCACAGCTCAATTCCATGCCATTAAAGAGCCATGAGCAATGAATCATCTATATCTATTATCACCGTGACAAATCCTATCTTCTCTCTTTATAACCAGCTCATAATGCATACCAATGGTTTGTGTAAATACAGGAATTCTCAGGCAACACTACTGTTCATTAACCGAAGAAGGTGTATGCAGAATTAATTGCTAAGCTAGGGATACATAGCATACATAAGTTATTGAATTCCAATTCTGTTAAGATCTAGCCGGAATAGAAAAGATGAAAAGATGAACCAAGCTGGTTGAGAATTTTGGCAGTTATCTCCACACTTCAACATCACCAGTTTAGAGGTAACAGTTATAAAACTAAATCATACTTTTATTTTAGACAAGTAATTATTATATCTATTCCACTTCATGTGCTTCAAAGTAATGTTATATATAAAATCCCTTAAGAAAATAAGCTTTAACTTCTTTAACAGCAGTTTATCTTATAATTAAAACTTTTCAGATAAGAAATGATTCAAAGAGGTTTGTACAAGGAAACATTTTTTTTTAAATATTCAATTCCTATCCTTCAAGGATAACACAACTGTTTTGTAACAGCAGAGCATTTAGGAGACATTAGGGTAGCAAGATGAACTAGGGAGGGGAAAACAGCCCGACTTTAAATAGTAAGGAGATCCTTGACTTTTATAGGAAATCCCAGCAGGATACGTCCTTCAGAGTGAATATAGAAATTAGGGGAAAGTTAGCAGGATTTTGCCTTGATTTTATTCCCTCAAGAGCCATAGAAGATGATAAAATTTTGCCAAGTCTTTTTTTTTAACTACAGGTGAAAAAGGCACTTGCACAATAATGTTCTGCACCATTTCAGGATCAGCTCCAAAACGGCCTGATCTCAGAATCCAGTGTGAGCTGAGTCAATTGATTTCTGACTCTGCATTTTCATTTGAATTGATGCAGTTTTGCAAATCTTATAGGTGGCCTATTTTTCAAGGGCTGGGAACTTTGGCCTCATCCTGTCTCCAGGATCCTAGTCTCCAGAAATGCTAAAGCGGCAGTTTGTTTTATTCTGGGCAAAGAGATGTCTGCTTCTTTTTTTGTGTTCTGGAAGGCATTATTTTCAGATATGCAACTGTTAACACTGCAGATTTACTCTGAGATTCTTTGCCCACACCATTTGCTTTCTCTCCCTCCTTCTCCTGAGTTAATGATGGTATTAAAAACGGCTCCAAAATTTCTGAGAAAATAATTAGGCGCTTCTGAAACAGCACTACCAATAATAACCTTCATGGAGAGACACACCTATAAGGATATATTAAGCAAATACAGATCTCGCCAGTGAGAAATAGAGAAGATTCACAGGACAGAAAACAAGGGAAAGCATGGAGCAAAAAAATGTGAACATTTTTTTAAAAGGAATTTTACTAAAAGGTTCATTCTTGCATGGTTTTACAAGATATATAGAGAAACATAGCCCTGTCACCCACTCAGTACATATTTTGTGCTTTAGTATACTGGTCATGTTTGTCTTCACAGAGACAAAGAAATGTATTCTATGGGTTACACTGTAGCACTATAAGGCATGAATTAAAATACATCATTAACATCCTGATCCAGCTTATCTTACTACCAAAACAAAGAAACTATTATTTGAGCAAATGGGAGGGGGAAAGGAGCAAGTCCATCACAATAATGAAGAGCTCCTTGCCCTAAAAACTGTTCTGTTACAAGATCAACAATTATAGGCTTATATTCTACAGATTTGGATCCCAAATGGCTGCATGAAGTGATGCATTCTCTAATGGGAGAGTAAGTACCATTGATGACTAGGCCTTGGGGCTTCTGCTGTTCTCAGACCAATCAATAATCCATTATGTCCAAACTACATTTCCACTTCAATATAAAAAAATAAAAGGGCAGCCAGTCTTAGCAGTTAACCCATGGACTATAAAACAACAGTAATAAATAATAACAACCACCACATAAGACACATGAAATCTCAAGACTGAAATAATTATTTATGTGTATAATATTGAAAAACTATTCACACCACCATTTTTACCATATTCCTTCTTCTCTGGAACCTTTTGTACATATATACTTCACATACACAAACAGACACAGACACACAGACACACACACACACAGACAGAGAGAGAGAGAGAGACACTGCACACAAATATGCACTCATAACTCTCTGATTAGATGAAATGCTACATTCATAATTAACCTCTTCAGAACAAAGGAAAAACACATCCCATCTTCAATAGATAAAATATAATTCTTTGAAGTGCATTGTTTTTCTGGACAAGAAAAAAAGCTTAATTTATTTTTATGTATCATGATTTTTATTACTATAACTAAGGGTCTCAAAGGATGGGAATGGCCTTGGCCTTTTTGGATTTACAAAACAGCCTGAGAAGGTTAAGAACAGAACATATGGAAATTTTATTAGGGATATTTAATATATCATATATCTTAGAATGATGGTGAGATTGCTTGATATACTGACACTAAATCTGGCTGGAATACACATTTGGCTATATTTAGGAGAGACTCCTGGAAATTTATGGACTAAATCTGGATACAACCCACTATAAATCTGGAATAAGATAATGCTAAGCTTCAGCAGCTACGGGTAACTTTAATAAAGTTCGAGGTATATTATATTATTCACTCCAACCAACTTAATTGAAATAGTTCTACGTAGATAAAAAAATAAGTTATCAGCATATCCTAAATACATTATAATACAAACACTTGTTACAGATGTTATTCCTCATGTTCAGCAATTAATAACCCCACAGAAACAATACCCATCATTCATAACAAAGAAGATAT